AGCCTGCTTCTCCCTCTCCCACTCCCCCTGCTTGTGTTCCCTCTCTCGCTGTATCTCTCTCTGTCAAATAAATAAATAAAATCTTAAAAAAATAAAGAAATAAAATCTTTGGGGTGCCTGAGTGGCTCAGTGGGTTAGGCGTCCGGCTCTTGATTTCGGCTCAGGTCACAATCTCTGGGTCATGGGATAGAGCCCTGTGTGGCGCTCAGCGCAGAGCCTGCTTGGGATTTTCTCTCCCTCTGCTCCTCCCCCACCCCCCACTTTCCCTCTAAAAATTAAAAAAAAAAAATTTTTTTTCCACTCTTCCCACAAACCATCCATTTATATCCACTGAAGGACATCAGGTAATTAATATGAGACTGGGGAGATATTCCCAAGAATGGATCTTTCTATAATTGAGGGATCTTCATTTGTAATATCACTTTGAACAGAGATTAGATAACCAAATTCAACCTATTCCAGTTGTCCAAATGCAATAACCCACTCTTAACAATATAACAGTGAGGGACACAGGGAGTGTACTGCAAAGGGAAGTTCAGCTAAGAGCAATGAACTGTCCTGTCTACCACAGTAGCCATGACTCACATGTAGCTATCAATCACCTGAAACGTGGTTAGTTGTAACTGAAATATGCCATAAGCATAAAATACATGCCAGACTTCAAAGACTTCATATGGGAAAAAATTTAAATAATTACCAACTTCTTATTGGTTATATGTTGAAGTAATGATATTTTGAATACAGCAGATTAAACAAAATACAGTAAGTTCATTCCATCTATTTCTTTTTACTGTTTGAAAGGTAGCTCCTAGAAAATTTGAAGTGACTTAAGTGGCTCCTATTTGTGGCACATATTGTTTTTCTATTGGACAGCAGTGGTCTAGACTTGGAAGCTTTCTTTATGCTATCAACTAAAAGAGAATGTTGGGAAAAAAAAATTAAAAAAGAATGTTCTGATAGCTGAGGAGCTGACCAGAGGGAAACAGTGCGCTGGGCTTTGGCCAGCAATCTTTCCCACAAACAGTATCTAGAAGCAGCCCAGCAAAAAGGACCAAGAGCACTGATGCCAGGTGGCTCCCTGGCCAATCTCACAGCACCTCAGCTGCTCTCAGCAGAGCCCCCTGGTTTAAGGGAATTGCAGTTCTGAAGGCAGGGCTGACATTCCCCCTGGTCACCTAACGGCAGGGGAGGACAAGTTTTCTTTCTGGTCTTCTTACATGTTTATTTTACTAAGAGAGAAGAATGGGAAAGTTTAACCTAAAACTAACCCAACCCCAGAAAGAAAGAATAAAGAATGGAGAAAAAACAATGTTGAAAAGATACGGCTGGGGTGCCTGGGTGGCTCAGTTGGTTAAGCGACTGCCTTCGGCCCAGGTCATGATCCTGGAGTCCCGGGATGGAGTCCCGGGGTCGAGTCCCGCATCGGGCTCCCTGCTCAGCAGGGAGTCTGCTTCTCCCTCTGACCCTCTTCCCTCTCGTGCTCTCTGTCTCTCATTCTCTCTCTCAAATAAATAAATAAAATCTTTAGAAAAAAAAAAGAAAAGATACGGCTGTGAGGGACGCTTGGGTGGCTCAGTAGGTTAAGCGTCTGCCTTCGGCTCAGGTCATGATCTCAGGGTCCTGGGATCGAGCCCCACATCAGGCTCCGGGCTCATCAGGGAGTCTGCTTCTCCCTCTCCCTCTGCCCCTCTCCCTGCTTGTGTTCTCTTGCTCTATCTCTCAAAATAATAAATAAAATCTTAAAAAAATATATGGCTGTGAATTTTCCCAAATTAATGAAAAAGATAAATTCAAAGACCCAGGAAACACAAGATACCAAACAAGATAAATAAAGAGAAATCCACATCTAAATATATTGTGGTAAAACTTCATTATACCAAAGAAAAGAGGATCTTTTAAGAACAGCCAGAAGGAACAGACTGCCGTTTCTAAATGTTGAGAGAAAATAATTTAGAATGTGACACTAAGCCAGCAAAACTATCTTTTTCTAACAAAGATAAAATAAAGGCATTTATATAAAAACAAAAATGAAGTTTACTACCAACAAACTTTCACCAAAATATTTCTGTAAGATTTACTTCAGGAAGAAAAAAAATGACCCCAAAAAGATAATTTGAATTTTTTTTTTTTAAAGATTTTATTTATTTATTCATGAGAGACACAGAGAGAGAGAGAGAGGCAGAGGGAGAAGCAGGCTCCCAAGGAGCAGGGAGCCTGATGCGGGACTCGAT